TTTTTATTGTATTTTAGGTGAAAGTTTATACAGCAAATTAGACTCTGTTGATCAAAGTGGGATCTTTTATACACAATGTTCCATGACATTGGTTACAATGTTCGCAATGTGATAGCGGTCTTATTATTTCCATTCTGTTTGTATAATTCCCACTGACCTAGTTTGCTTTTCTCTCCTTACCTTCTTATCTTTGTTTTTGTTAAGTGTTAACCATTCCATCTCAAATAGTGGGTTGTTTAAGGAATCACACTACTCAGGGTTGACAGTGTCTTATTTTATAAGGCAATCTATTATCTAACTGAAAAATAACTTCCAGAAATAGTTTTCGCTCAAGTTCAAAGTGCCTCAAGGTGAAAAATCCCTGGAGCTCCAGTAGTCTTTACAGCTTAGTAGGTATGGTCATTTTAATAATAGGCATTTGCTTTTTTCTCCTCTTCTTCATTTGTTATGTCCCAGGTCAAATGGTTGAAAGTAGTAACTGGACCTCGCCTAATTCTTCTGGCTTCAACTTAGAACTGGACCTAGTTCCTGGGAGCCGTTAGTTTTGTGGTTTAATCTCTTCTGTGAGTCTTGGGTTTTCTTCATTCTCTTTTGCTCTAAAATAGTGGCCAATACTTTTGTCTTAGAAATGTGAAAAAACAGAATATAAATTATGAATTTTTGCAATGAACTTTTGAAGCCTCTATCTAAGCCATCTAAGCCATATATCCTAGATGTCCATTTTCAAGCTTTTAATATTCTATGTGCTATCCACTACACTAAGATGTACAGCATTATTTTATGAACTGCAGAGGTTGAGTGCCATCAAGTTGGCTCCAGCTCATAGCAATGCCATATGCAAATTAATAAAATAATGCATAGTCCTGCATCAGTCTCACAATAGTTGCTGTTTAAGCTCATTGTTGTAGCCACTTTCACAAACCATCTCAATGAGGGTCTTCCTCTGTTTCAATAACCCTCTACTTAACCAAGCATGATGGCCTTCTCCAGAAACTGGTCTCTTCTGATAACATGTACACAGTACTTGAGATTAAATCTATGCAACCTCAATCTCTGAAGTTTTCTAGTAGAGCATTCTTTGAATACTATTTTCTTCCATTTTTTATGAACTGTGTAATGCTTTCATTCACAGAAACAAAAAGAAGTCACACAGAGTGAGATCAAGTGAGTCATGTGCATGGGGCAAGAGAGGCATGCTGTTTTATGTCAAAAACTGGCATACTGAGATGGCTGTATGAGCAGGTGCATTGTCGTGGTGGTAAACCAGTCCCCAGTCTGCCACAAATCAGGCCTTTTTTTGTTACACACAGTTACACAATCTTTTCAGTCTGACCTGGTGGAATGAACCCCAAATGTACTGTTCCCCTCATATAAAAAAATTGAGCATCATCTTGATCATGATTTCATGTGATGAGGTTTGAGAGGGCCAAGGTGATGGTAGCATTGTTCACTGGCTTGATTGATGTTTGCTTTTGGGGTCATAAAAATAGTCCTACTATCTGAAACCAGTATAACCTTGGGGAAAAATTTGGGTTGCTCAGGAGTTTTGCAGCCACTGTGTCAATCAATCTAGTTGTGGACCTACTCTTCTGTGCTAACACTGTACTTAACTTTGCATTATTCACTACTCTGGGGAATAGTCCTCCCTGATAACATGTATAAAGTACATGAAGCAAAATATTGCCATCCTCAATATTAAGGAGCATTCTGGATGTACTTCTTTCGAGATAGATTTATTAAACATAATTTTATTTTTCAGAGACTCTGGGCATGTTGTCGGGAGACAACAATAAATGCCTGGAGAAAGACATCATTTGTGTTAAAATGG